CTCTCTCTCTCTCACACACACACATATATATATATATATATGAAGAAATTAGGTTCTCATACTTCTTTTTGCTACTTCATTGATTAAAATCCTATTCATTTTCAATTTTTGATCAAGGTCCTTGGGTATTAATAACATCATTAATTATTACAATAATAAAATATTTTTTTATTTCTAAATATATTCATTTAATGTTAAAATGTTACAATTAGTATATTTATATTTATGACTAAATATTTTATCATATATTTTTAGTTTTTAGTTTGTACCCATTTTTAATTTGTAATTCTTTTTTAACTTGTACCAATTTTCCTTTCAGTTTTAATTTGTACCCATATATTAATTTCTTTTTAGCCCTTATTTTTTAAAGTTTATTTTTATTTGTACCCATATATTTTTTTTTATTTGTACTTTTTATTTTGCTAAATGTACCCTTGCTAATTATATGTACCCACTCATGTAAAACTTTTTAATCTTAAAATGTACTCATTCTTAAATATACCAATTTGTTATATGTAAAATTTACCCTTTTTTTATATATAAAATCTATTTAATTTGTTTCTAATACATTTTTAAACTTATATGGGTACATTCTTTTTTCTTTGATTTTAAAATGTATACATGTCAAGTTTAATCGAAAAAATTTATTAATGTTATTAAGCCTAATATCTTTTTTTTTTTGTGTGTGATTTTGAAGAATTTACCCATGTTTTGATACAATAATTTTTTTGGTTAATTTTATGTACCCATGTGTATATAGATACACACACACACAATAGTGTATTTATATTTTAATATTTTTAATCCCACAAATTATGTTTTATTTATTTAAAATCTCATTTATATAGACAATTAAAATTTCTAATTTTTAATTTAAAAAATATAGTAACGTACATAAAAATAAATTATCACATTAATTTCAAAGACCTCGATAAAAAATTAAAAACCAATAAGATTTCAATAAAAGAATATTCATAATTAAAAACCGTATCCAAAGTCTTTTTATATATATATTTGCAAGAATAAATATAAATGGCTGATGTTGAAATGTGGTGTGATCGAATGGATCTGACATATCGTTGCTTATGATATATATATATATATATATATATATATATAAGTCTTTTTATATATATATTTGCAAGAAATATAAATGGCTGATGTTGAAATGTGGTGTGATCCAATGGATCTGACATATCGTTGCTTATGATATATATATATATATATATAAGTCTTTTTATATATGTGTATTTGCAAGAATAAATATAAATGGCTGATGTTGAAATGTGGTGCGAACCAATGGATCTGACATATCGTTGTTTATGAGGACTGCAAACTGCTGCAGAATTTTTCTGCACCGGTCACCTCCTTAGCCATATAAATATTTATGGACCAAGGCTGACCAAATATTCTTTATTATGGTCAAAGGTGTTAGATAGTGTTGACCATAAAAACTACTAAGCTTACGTGGTATGTAGGCCGAGTAACTAATAAACTAATTATGTTCTTCAGTTATGTGCAGGGCGTGCCAAGTCGACGGGCGAGCTCGACCAGTGAGTAAAATATGCTGATGTTTTGTTGAACGCGTTGCTGACTTCTTAATCTTGTGATTGCGGCCGAGGAAGGAACATGTTTTGGCTTTTTGGGTTCTAGAGCCTAAAGACAAGGCTGCTAGTTCTACGAGTTCATAGATTGTCGGCGCCGGGGTTCGGTTTTAGTTATATTAGTCGTGAAAATATAACTACGCCGAATTGGGACCAAACTACACGGACACAAATCCTCGACAGAGATAAATGTCTTGATCGTAAATGTGATTCGGCCATCAACGTGCCAAACTCTAAAATGTAATTGCGAATATCCAATCATAAAACCACTCGGCGTTCAACGTACCAAGCCTAGTAACTTGTAACATCTTACTTCACTGAGAAGGCTGATGAGATGACATCTACCAATAAGGACCAAAAAATCCTTATCGACAGAGACTTGGATAAATAACCAGTCGGTCTCGAAACAGTACTGTTTATCCAAACTGAAGGTGCTCCTTGATCGACTGACTCTACGACTCTAGTGATATTTATCCAAATTGAAAATGTTGCCGGTTGCCTTCACAGTGCTGTTTATCCAAACTGAAGATGTGTTAGCGGAAGAAAGGGAAAGAAGGATAAAATCTCAGGTTGTTGAGAAGCTTTGCGCAGGGCAATTTGTGTATTGAATTGGAGGGGGCTTGGTGAGTTGCTCATGTTTCTGTATTTATAGAACATATTTACCTCGGCACGGCCTGATAATTACGTAGAGTTCAACTGCAACTCAAACTAGTGAAGATGAACCGTGTCATAGGCTAAGACCAATCCACCTATCCTTATCAAGTCACCACAAATAAACTAGTTTATCTCCATGCAATCACTTCACCAATCAAATCCATCATGTATATTTCCCTTGACGAAGGCCACATGCACGTGTGATGATTCCTTCACCAACTTAAACTATGAAAAGCAATTGTAATTGATGAAATATAATCACCATATCCCAAGACAAAGTCATGTGCTACAACCCCATCCATGAATTCCAAGTCTATATTAGAAATAGGACTTAGGTTTTGATAACAATTAGCCATGTAAGAGACTGCATGCACCTGGGGCTTGATATGATGAGCCTATTCGAACATCTTCATGCAACCCCTTGAAGACAGATCAGATAATCTTTTTTTTCAAAACAACCAGCTGGATATACCAAATTTTAGGTTTAGATATCCTAATATATCTTAAGAGAAAATATCATGATTAAAATCAAAATATTATTTCTAAATAATAACTAAAAATAGTTTCAACCACTTTGTCGTTCAACGGTCTTCTACCATTCAATGGCCTCGATTACTCCGGTCAATGATGTAATTTCGGGTCCAAACAGATAGATTGACCATGTTTCCGGTAAATGCATATTTTATTATGTAGGTCTCGTTCAGGTTTTAAAAAGCGCTAGGCGTTAGTTGGTTGACGGATAGAGGCTTAGCGCTTAGGAGTCTAGACCGAGACTAGGCGGTTTTTTTTTTGTTAATTAAATTAATTATATAACATATAAATGTGTACTTATACTTAAAATAAATAATAACATATAAATGTATACTTATACTTAAAATAAACAAATAAATGTATTGAGATACATAATACAAAAATAGAATGACATATAAAGTATAAAGTACTTAAACATGTTGAAAATATGGAGGACAAATATATAATGAGTGTTCATACAAGTATCCAACAAATCTCTTACTATTTATTGAAAAAATAAAATGCATGTCTAGGTGGGTTTAGGTGGGCGTCTAAGCAGGTCTAGATGTCATTTCTTATTTTTTAAATAAAAAAGGTCGTACCCAGTGCACAAGGCTCCCGCTTTACGCAGGGTCTGGGAGGTGGAATGTCGGCTGAACCCCATTTATTTGGAGAGGCTGCTCCCAAGTCTCGAACCCGAGACCTACCGCTCATGGGCGAAGGCACTTGCCATCGCACCAAGTGCGACCTCTATTTCTTATTTTTTAAATGCCTAGAAATAATCATGGTGGAGGCTAGCCACCTAAGCGGGGCCTAGACGGTGTTAGGTGGAGACTTTTAGCCCAGGCTCCCCTTCTTATTTTTTAAACGCTTAGAAATAATCAGGTTGAAGGCTGCCTAAGCGGGGTCTTAGACGACAGGGCGAGACTTTTAGCCTAGGCGCCCTTTCTTATTTTTTAAACGCTTAGAAATTAATCATGGTGGAGGCTAGCTGCCTAAGCGGGGTCTAGACGACGTTAGGCCGAGACTTTTAGCCTAGGCGCCCTTTCTTATTTTTTAAACGTCTAGAAATTAATCATGGCGGAAGTTTGCCGCCTAAGCGGAATCTAGACGGTGTTAGCCGGAGACTTTTATAACCGAGTCCTATATATTTTTTACCCTCGCCTTTCTTATTTTTTAAACGTCTATAAATTAATCATGGCGAAGGCTAGCCACCTAAGCAAAGTCTAGACGACGTTAGGCCGAGACTTTTAGCCTAGGCGCCCTTTCTTATTTTTTAAACGTCTAGAAATTAATCATGGCGGAAGTTTGCCGCCTAAGCGGAATCTAGACGGTGTTAGCCGGAGACTTTTATAACCGAGTCCTATATATATACATATATATCTCACACTACAAGTCTCAACTCACAATAAGAATTTGAGACGAAGTTTGTGATTGGAGCATTCAATAATCCAAATCCAAATGTACAAGTTTCCTACAAGTTTTTCATCAATGTCCCATGCCCTGACATTGCAGCCTGTGATGATAATTCAGGCCTTCAGGTACTACTCTGCAATTCCTTTCAAAATTATAAGCTACCTCACTAGTTCACTACTCTTTCAGTTCTACCTATCCTCCATTTTCTGCAAACAACAACAACAAACCCTAGACCTTGCATTCACAAGTAATCATGCTCCATTGCACTTGCCACTTGATTTACTAATCTGTAACCTTTCCTTTGTTTGTCATTCACGCAGCTTCAAGAACGAAAAGGACCGATTGTTTGGTATGAACACTATTTCTCCTCTACGTGATTATCCATTCCTTCCACACACACACACACTGTGTATCGTAATTTTTTAATCTTTAAATCTGCCACCTTATAAGACCAAAGAATTAAGAAACTGATCACGAATATGATTCTTCCAACTGTAAAAATCAGGTTGTCGTACGAAGGTAGCTCGCAATGCAAACATGGAGAAATTGCGGAATGGCCTGTTTCCTGAGGTGAGTTCATTCTTCTTTTGGCAATTGGATTAGTCTCTTGAATACACTATTCAGAAACTGATGCTAACAATATATATATATATATATATATATATATATATATATATATGTATCTGTGTGTGTGTGTGGTAAATTCAGATTTCAAGGCTGGAGCTTGAACACATTGAGAAGTACCCGAATGCAAAGTTGATAAGCCTCGGAATAGGCGACACAACAGAACCAATACCAGAAATCATCGCATCAAGCATGGCTAATGTTAGTAAATTTAACTGAATCGATGAATATATTCTACTAACTACTTTTAAAAGCATACAGTTTACAGACGAAGGGGGAATAAGAAAAGAAAAGATTTTGGGTGGACTTTGTTTTCAATGTCTTAATAACGTTTAGAGAATTTTGATGTTTTGCAGTATGCACATGCCCTTTCGACCGCTGACGGTTATTCAGGGTACGGACCTGAACAAGGCAATAAGGTACCATAGTAATGCATGATTCTCTCCCGAATGTCATGAAAGTTGAGTTTTAATTAAATCTTATTAAGTTAAATCTCAATTGTTCTCATCTTTTAATGCTTGGATACCCTAAATTGATTGCTGATGAGTAGATTTTATATTATATATTTTACCCTAATCTTAGTATATTTTGGTTAATGTATTGGAAGAATTTTGATACTTTGAATTGTATTTTCAATATAGGACTTCCGACTTCCTCTGGAGCAAAACAGGATCAAATGGACGAATTTTGGAGTAATTCCAGAGGAAGTCGGAAGTCCTATATTGAAAATACAATTCAAATTATCAAAATTCTTCCAATATATTAACCAAAATATACTAAGATTAGGGTAAAATATATAATATAAAATCTACTCATCAATTGCTTTGCCTTCTTTCAACATTTATTAAATGTTCCATGCATCAATGTTTAAAATATTAATATTGGTGAAAATATCGATGAATGTATTGATACCAATTGTTTTTTATGGAAATGATAAAAATTTTGCTCAAAAACGTAAAAATTTAAAATGAAACTTTAGGATATGGGAGTTTGCTGATATTTAACCAATATATTAGAAATATTGATGAAATCAATTGATTTTAGTTGAAATTTAAGAGTTTCTCCAGGCCAATGCAATCTGTTGATTTTTCAATATTTCCACGGAAATGTCGACCACATTAAAGAAATTTCAAACTTTGCCGTGCATTCATTTTTTCTTCTTTTGCTTTGCTTCCCCGAGCTCCAACCATCGTTCTCTTGTCGGACTATGAATCTCAAGTGTGTTCCACGTTCATAGTCAACTGAACACAAGTCTAGCGAATTGACCAAAAAAAAAGAACACAAGTCTAGTGAGAAAACATTACTCCTCTTTCTCTCCCTCTATATACACGCTGGTGTGTTTGTGTGCGCGCTCGTTTCCGTGCGCTTGCTAAGTACCTAAACTTGTTTATATGTCTACATATAGGCATTGCGGAAGGCAATTGTAAAAGCATTCTATAAAGATCTGCAGATAAAAGACACAGAAGTTTTCGTATCAGATGGTGCGCAGTGTGACATTACGCGACTTCAGGTACACAATTACCGTTTAAGTTTGGCGGATGCTCGTTATCTTATTACGTGCAACGCTCGAAGCAAGGGTATTCTAGTAACACAGATTTATGATTTTCTTGTGTACTTACAGTTGTTGCTGGGTTCCAAAGTGACCATAGCTGTGCAGGATCCATCATTTCCGGTATGTTGTTATGTTACTGAACATGTTCCAAACGAAGGAATGCTTAATTGAATTATTCCAAACAAATGAAAGATTGGTATCTGATCCGATACATGGCGCTGGCAGGCTTACATCGACTCAAGTGTGATTATCGGTCAAGCTGGAGACGAAGGTGGGAGTGGAAGGTATGGGAGCATTGAGTACATGAAGTGCGGACACAAAAATAACTTCTTTCCGGACTTGGCAACCACTTCAAGAACAGATGTTATCTTCTTCTGCTCTCCAAACAACCCCACTGGTCATGCAGCAACTAGGGAGCAATTAGAGCTTCTTGTCAAGTTTGCCAGGGACAATGGATCCATTATCATCTTCGACGCTGCTTATTTGTCATATGTACAAGACGATAACTGCCCTCGTTCCATCTTTGAAATTCCCGGTTCTAGACAGGTTGCAATCGAAATATCATCATTCTCCAAGTTTGCTGGCTTCACTGGTGTCCGTCTAGGCTGGACAGTAGTGCCTGACGAGCTCTTATACTCGAATGGATTTCCTGTTATACACGACTTCAATCGCATTGTCAATACTTGCTTCACCGGGGCGTCCAATGTTGCTCAAGCTGGTGGACTCGCCTGTCTTTCCTCGCAAGGCTTCAAGGTAAACCTTTTATACATAAAATAAATAACTTCCAAACAAATTACACATCTCCAAAATTACAAATTCACATTTTGCGGTTTCAGGCTGTGAATTCTCTGGTTGACTACTACATGGAGAATGCAAATATACTGGGTGAGGCATTGTCTTCTGTTGGTTTACAAGTATACGGCGGTGCAAATGCTCCCTACATTTGGGTGCACTTTCCAGGTTCAAATTCTTGGGATTTATGCAAACACATTCTTGAGAAAACACACATAATTACAGTTCCGGGATCTGGATTTGGTCCGTTGGGTGAAGAGTTCCTGAGAATTAGTGCTTTTGGCCACAGAGAGTGTATCCTAGAGGCCGCAGCTAGGCTAAAATACCTATTTCTATAGGACTTAGGAACACTCTACTTCTCGCTTCATCTATTCACAATCATCATCCATGGCATCATTGGGATGGATTGGCCTGCTAAATGTTATACGTTACAACTTAGAGGGTTCATTTTATGAGAGGAATAATTACTAAACCAATAATGATTTGTGGCACGGGTAAAAATTTGTACGAGAATATGAGATTTATTATATTTTCTACCTATTAAAGTTATATATGTCTTTGAGAGCCTATGTGGGTTTTTTTAAATATTAAGTCGCTTGGCTGCACTTACCCTTGAATTAAAGAGTCTTGTCACAGAAGTAATCTCAAAGGAACGAGGCAAATGGATAAGCAAAACTTTGCCCTAAACATTCACTACCTACTTTCGTACAAAAGAAACCGTCATGATTAACTCAAACCACATACACTGTTTCTTTAAGAAAATGTTACGAAGATCTGCTGACATATTTATCTCACTCGCCATTTAACTACTAGCCACATCGCTTCAACTCACTATATATTCCAGGGGCTGAACGTCTGCACCTCAAAATAAAGTACTTCTTAAAGAAATCTACAATCTATGTCAACAGAAATGCACCAACAATCCGATGCACCGCTATCAAGATAAAGAAAATGTTAAAAGTCTTTTCTCAATGTAGCATAGAGGTAATTGAGCGAACTGCAGATCTGGGAAAATTAATTCATAACAAATTCATCAAAAGGAAAGAAAATAGCTTGAGACACCAGGTTTTATATACAATATATCCTGAACCTTTATAATTTTGCTTCTTTTAAACGCAACGGTCAATATAGAATGATTACATCCAGTAAAGAGCTATCACAATGCACTGATAAAAGTCTCAAATTTTGACAGAAAAAAGGGTAAGATAACTTATAGCAATCACATCAACCGAAACTTTTTTCAAGTTTTGAGCTATACTCAAAATCTTAAGGGAGTGCAAAACATCAAACATCAAGGACTAGACAGCTAACCAGTTCAGCAGGGAAAATCCATCAAGTTCGTGGTTTGTACTGATCTATTTCTCTCTCTAGATCTCTCGCATTCTCTCTCTTTGTCTCTCTTTGTCTCTCTCTCATGTTCATGTGTGTAAATTGCGTTGTTGTTGTTGCAGGTGAAATCATCTTCTTACACTCGACTATGTAGTACCAAGGAAATCCTGACTGTGAACGGCCGATTCCCAGGGCCGACTTTGAAAGCTCGTAGAGGAGTTAAATTATTATTACGGGCTATAAAAAGGCAAACTACATCATCATGTTTCATTGGTGCGTCATGTTGACTGATATTGACTCAAGTGAATGCCACATAATCTGTTACATCATCTGCCATGTCATTCATATTTCTGTTGAAAGTTAGTTAGGATGGTGCTGTGTAGCTTACACAGTAAGCAAGGTAGTTAGGCTACTAGAGTGCTATAAAAAGCTGATTGCAGCTTCATGTTTGTAAGAAAATATCATTCTATCAATACGAAACCTTTCATATTGTTTCAAAGTTTTCTTCTATATTCTCTGTATTGTTTCTTTCTCCTTCTTTCTGCAAGTCTGATCTTCTTGGTTAAGATGGTATCGAGCCAAGGTTGAATTTTTTTTGGGTATTTTCTTCCGCTGAGAAATTTTTTTTTTTTTGGGATTGATCGTTGAAGGCTTTGTTGGAGTTCTTGGAGGATTGGTGAAGTTCTTGAAAGCTTGCTGCTGAATTTTGGGTCGAGGGTCATTCAATCATGTTGTTGGTTCATTTCCCGAATTACAAACTCTACAGTTGGATAATGAGTGTGATTTTACTGGGGGTTTTTCATTTATTGCTGCAATACAAGATTTGGAGGAACCATCAACATTTCGAAAAGCTTCTACAAGCCCACATTGGCAAAGTGCAATGCAAGAGGAGTTTAATGCCCTCAAAACTCAAGGAACCTGGCAGTTGGTTCCTTCTCCACCAAACCGAACCATTATTGGCAGTAAGTGGGTATATAAAGTTAAGAAGAATCCTGATGGCAGTGTATCGAGGTATAAAGCCAGACTTGTGGCTCAAGGTTTTTCCCAAGAACAAGGCATTGACTACTCAGAAACTTTTAGTCCAGTAGTATGCCACACTACTGTACGACTCATTTTATCCTTAGCAGCTATAAATAAATGGGAATTGAGGCAGTTAGATATCAAAAATGCATTTCTGCATGGTGACTTACAAGAAGAGGTGTATATGAAACAGCCTCAAGGGTTTGTTGATCAAACTAAACCTCATTATGTCTGCAAGTTGATTAAATCGTTGTATGGGTTGAAGCAAGCCCCTCGGGCATGGAATTCCAAATTCACGACCTATTTACCAGCGTTGGGGTTTGTACCTTCTTCATCGGATACCAGTTTATTTGTGAAGAATGATGACAAGGATGTGGTGGTTCTTTTACTATATGTCGATGACATCATTTTGACAGGATCAGATGTTAGCAAAGTTCAGCAAGTTATTGATGATTTGGCAGGTGTTTTTGACTTAAAGGATATGGGCAGACTTACTTACTTCCTGGGACTTCAGATTCACTACAAGGCGAATGGAGACATATTTGTGAATCAATCCAAGTATGTTAAAGATCTTATTCATAAAGCTGGAATGAAGTCTTGTAAACCTGCAAATACACCATGCAAACCTCACAATCAAATGCTATTGAATGAGGGCATACCATTGCAGGACTCCACATTGTACAGAAGTTTGGTTGGTTCCCTGCAATATCTAACTTTTACACGTCCTGATATAGCTTATGCTGTGAATTCCGTGTGTCAATTTATGACTGCTCCAACAGATATACATCTTACTTCTGTCAAACGACTTATTCGATATCTTCAAGGCACTGCCAAATGTGGTATTACATATGCAGCTGATACTGATATGCATTTGACAGCGTTTTCTGATGCTGATTGGGCTGCTGATTTGAACACAAGACGATCTGTGACTGGTTATGTGGTTTATCTTGGTGGGAATCCAATCTCTTGGCAGTCAAAGAAGCAATCCTCCGTCTCTCGCAGTTCTACAGAGGCGGAATACAAGGCACTTGCTCATATTGCAGCAGATGTGGCATGGATTCGGCTCCTTTTGAAAGATTTGGGAGTTGCATTACCTATTAAACCCACTATATTCTGTGATAATAAATCTGCAATAGCCCTCAGTGCTAATCCGATGTATCATTCGAGAATCAAACACCTTGATACGGATTATCATTTTGTCCGTGAAAGGGTGCATAATGGTGATCTGTTGGTTGAGTATCTCCCTACTGATGAACAGACCGCTGATATTCTTACTAAAGGATTACATAGTCCGTCATTCATTCAGCATTGTTTCAATCTCAAGCTTGATTTCCCTCGTTGAGATTGAGGGGGGATGTTGACTGATATTGACTCAAGTGAATGCCACATAATCTGCCACATCATCTGCCATGTCATTCATATTTCTGTTGAAAGTTAGTTAGGATGGTGTTGTGTAGCTTACACAGTAAGCAAGGTAGTTAGGCTACTAGAGTGCTATAAAAAGCTGATTGCAGCTTCATGTTTGTAAGAAAATATCATTCTATCAATACGAAACCTTTCATATTCTTTCTAAGTTTTCTTCTATATTCTTTGTATTGTTTCTTTCTCCTTCTTTCTGCAAGTCTGATCTTCTTGGTTAAGACGTCATTTAATTTATATTCAAATTATAGTTCTATCCATGAATTTAACTAATTATTTTGTTTTTGTGTCAAAATGTGTTAAGATTTCAAAGTCGGGCCAACAACCTATTACTAATCATTCCAATAAAGTCCTACTTAACCATTTGTGTAGTACGACATGTGTTAAGTTTTATCGTAAAAGATCTCGATGTTACTTATAGCAGAACCATTCATCTATAAGTAGTAATATATTTTGCCAAGTTTTCGATGTACGATTGCATTTTTTGTTGTAAACTGAAATAGAAAAGAACGAAGTTACCAAAAAAATGTAGAACCCTTGAGTGGTGAATGATTCTTGGGATGAGTCGCAGACTAAGTCGCTCTCTTTAAAACGTTTCGCGGCTCTGCCTAAAGTGTGCAAGCAGTTCACAAACACCACGTCGTCCCCAGAATAAAACAGCCCAGAACCTGCTTCTTCTGATAAGATTCTTCCTTGCACAACGGAAGAACCTTCGAACTAAACCTTTTCGATATGTTGCTTTTTAAATTAATATATTTAAACTTTTTTTCCTTGTTTTTTCTTCTACTATTTCTACTCCACGCCTAACTGATATCTCTATCTGTATCCTTATACATATATATAAAGAAATAGATGTGGGGGGGGGGGTGTAAAACCGTAAGGATATAAAGAGAGTTTATGGGGTGCGAAACGGTCGGTTGCAAACAAAAGGAGTTATTAACATCACATTAATTTACTTCTTAAATTGCTTTAAGAAATTTCAGTTATAGACTTTGAAATGAAAAAATACGCAGTGCAATATTTACCAGTTGATGCAGATCAAATCAAAATGTAATTCAAATTCAAACAAGAAATAAAAACGAAATGGTTTGATTGCATAACTCCTTAAGCTAAAATCAATTGACTTTCAATATTGGTAATAAAGCAAAACGTTGTGTATATAATATTGGTAGTAAAACAAAATAAATATATTTAAATATTTAAATAAAAACATATTTGCTCCAACATTTTTCAACAAAATGTATGTTTAATTTACAGGCATGAAGTTAGACAAGTAAAGAATCCATGGTCAGATGGACCTAAGTACCCCAATTCAGCCAGGAAACAAGTACAATTACAAAGTAGAGTTTTCAACGGAAGAAGGAACAATGTGGTGGCACGCACACAGTGGGTGGGCAAGAGCAACGGTTCACGAACCCATTTTTGTCTATCCAAAGTGTGGTTCTCGCTATCCCTTTTCTAAACGTCATGCAGAGGTTCCAATCATACTAGGTATGTACGTACTGAAAACTGAAAATGCAATAAGGTATGTACGTAGAAAATGCAATGATTATCCTATGCAGTGGGTTAG